GTAGTCCACGAAAGCTTATGCTCTAATAAATTTGTTAGTCTCTAAGGTGCCACAAGTACTCCTGTTCTTTTCTCTGATAATGAACATTTCCCCCTGATATTTGTAAAGTACCCTATATATTTACAACACTAATACAATAATATAATCACTAAACACGATAAAGCATATTACACAAGACTGCTGTATTTTTTATTTTACTATCCAATTAAACCACAAAAGTCCCTGGCAACTCATGCAATTTTTTACCCATTTTACACATGCTAGCTATGGGATATAATTCATCTTCACAAAATAACAGACATCCTTTAACGCATTTATGCTTTTTCAGGGATAAATCAATGTTTTATTGTGAGAAAAAACATCGTTTTATCACTTTTTTTCCTACACTTTTTTCATAGGTATACAATTTCCAGTTAGGCACATAAGCAATCAATATCTTGCATGGAAAATGGATGTCTCTCCAAGTCCACATTAGACTCTTCAGACCTATGCCCTTGACCAAACCTCAAACATGTGTCTCATCAATAGGATGTATAAGGGATTATATTACTTGTTTATTGGAATATTATGAAAACATATAAATCAAGCAAGATGTAAATATATTTAAAATATACAAAATAAATAAAACCACTGGAAATATTACATTGTAATAGATACAAATTATATTGCCACTAAATTCCTGTCAGAAAAATACAGTAATTTAGGGTGGGATTTTCAAAAGTATCTAAGATTTATAGGAACACAAATCCCACCCTTAGTTGTTTAGTCAGCTGCTTCCAAACAGCCCGGCTCCAATTATATCTACTGAAAAAAATCAGACAATCTGTACAACTATTTTAATCTAGAACTAAGATCACATGTCAATGCCTTTTTTTTTAATAAAACAGCCTTAGTTTTCAGTTGTCAATAGCTAATTACATTATTATTCTGGAAATGGCTACACTGACCTCTAGAATATTATCCATTTCAGATTTATTGGCTGTACATGTTTGAAAAACATTAGTTTATATTTAATAACTTCTAGTCCTAAAAATCTCTGAAGTGAGATAGTAAAATGTTATCCAGCTTTACTCCCAATTATTTTATGTGATCAAGAGTCCCTGAAGAAGAGAGATGATTAAAAAGTAAATTGAAAACAAGTTTGATTGCACAATACCATATTATTTCAGGGATAAGAACTGCATTCACTATGTGAATGGAAAGAACTGACATCTTAAAACCAATATGGTAAATGATACTGAGAGTACTTAATCACAATTTTACTACCTGCAGATTATTCACTGGGATTATAATTAAGGTACTGTATTTCCTTTGA